TTCAAGTTTAGGTTCATAGACTAGATCTTCTAACGGCTCCTCTATTACGTTCTTTCATGACTAAGGTTCGATTAGGACATTTGGAAGAAATATGACCAAAGACCTTACAGTTGACGCACAACAAGTGAGAAGAAGACCTTGGAGTTTCAGAAATTCTACCCTGATTTTTCAAAATTGGAGAACCATTAGAAGGGGGAGGTCCTAAAAGGGACTTAACGGGAGGAGGTGGAGCCAATGAAGCCAAATGATGATTATCAAAATTTTTACCCTTATTTTTCAAAATTGGAGGAATATCAGACGGGGGAGGTCCTAGAAGGGATTTAACGGGAAGAAGTGGAGCCAATGACACCGAAGGATGATTGTTAATATGCTTTCTACATGGAAAAGAAGATCTTGGACCATCTCGACCTTTACAATTATTTTTCCAAATAGGAAGAAACAATTATTTTTCCAAATAGGAGGAACATTAGACGGAAACGGTTTTATGATAGACTTATGATGAGGCGACGCTAATGAGATGGGTGAGCGACGATGACCACGCTTTTCATATGGAGTACTAATAATCAACTCATAATCTCGAGCTAAAGAGTAAGCGTGATCAAGAGTAGTGACACCTCGAAGGAAAAGCTCGCGCTTAAGATCATCTCTCAGACCTTGGCTAAACCTACTCAAAGTCGTGCTCTCATCCTCAATTAAATGACATTTGGTTCGAAATTCCTCAAATTGCGCGATATACTCAGTCACTAATTGATTTCCTTGTTTAAGGGCATTCCATTGAGTAAGAATTTCAAAATTATCTCGTTTTCGCTCACGAATCTGATCCCTATTCCTATCCCTATCCTTACGATCGGGTCGAAAGTATTTTTGATTACCTTGTCGACAATGTTGTCTGTTATGGGACACCTTAAAATTATCAACATCAATCGAATGAGGGATGTGTTTAAAAATTTTCAAACTAGCAGATAGGACCTTACTCTTTTCAAGAGTAGCGGTCATTTGAGTTTGAATAGCCGCTATTTGTCGGGTGAGTGCATCGAATTGTGAGGGGTTCATGTTTAAGGTACTAGAGCTAGAAGTGACAAGATGACCAATATGTAACTACATGCACTGTAATAGCAACTTAATGACATGCAATAGAAAGATCAACGAACAAAAAGTGCAAGTAATGGAAAATGAAAATTTGAGCTAATTTTTTTTTTTTAAAATTTAAATTTTGGGACTAAAATTATATACAACAAGCTAGTACTGCCGGTATATGTAAAATAATAAAGCAATGGTGAAATACTAGTCAAAACCTAATCACGTAAAATAAGCATGTTAAAGTGAGATTTAACGAGGTCAATGGATCCAATTACGTGTGTTTAGATAAAAATAGATCAGTAGCAGCACAAAAATTTAATTGATGCAATTTCAAAATGAAACAGTAACATAAACCAACAATAAATAAAAAGAACTTCCCTTTCGTTCGTCGAAGTAGTCAAGCCAGATCAACCAGAATAAAAGATGTACTTGTAAATAATAGAAAAGACGTTTCTTCTCTTTTTTTTTTCTTTTTTTTTCGCTTTTTTTTTCACTTTTTTTTTCCTTTTTCTTTTTTTTTTCACTTGTTTTTTTTTCCCTTTTTTTTTCTTTTTTTTTTTGGGAACTGTAGAAAACGATAAACAAAAAATAAAAA